ATATATATAATATATAAATATATATATATATAAATACACACACATGCATGTGTATATTTCAGAAAAATAGGTTATGTTTATATATTAAATATATTTATTTATAATATAAATTATATAAATATAAACGTAGACATGTAAATACATGTAAATATTTTCAAAACATATACTGTATGTGTGTGTATTTATATATACATAATAAATATATACAGAACACACACATATATTATGCAAACAAACACTTTTATTTTGGATGCGATTCATCGTGATTAATCTTTTGACAGCACTAATATTTAGAAACATCATATGACTGAATGCATATAAATAAGCCCAGACTCTTCATAACAGGGAGAGCAGCAGCTATTCGACTATTTGATCACAAGTTTAGTTTTAAAGACATTCATTCTTACTTAAAAAAAATCCCCTTTCTAAAGTGATTCAGTGTAGTGTTTGGTGTCAGGCTTCTGTACCCTCTTTACTGATCAGCATCTTTGGGCTGCGGATGCTGGTGCTGTTGTCGAATCTGTCTGAAGCTTGGCAGTGGTAGAATCCAGCGCTGTCTCGACCTACAGACAGAGACAGAACGGATTCGTCTGCGTAGAAACCTCTTCGGCCCAGCAGCCTGCTGTCGTTGAGGAACCAGCTGTACTGTGGAAACGTTCCCCGCTCCACCTTACAGTGCAGTTCCACGTTGACCACCTGGAAGTCCAGACCCACTTGTTTGAAGGGCGTCACCGTTACAGCGCCTCCTACAGACTCTGAGACATCAGGTGTTAGATGTTCTTTCAGTTACACAACACAAAACAATACATATATAAGGCAAGAAACCACAGGTGAATAGGGTAAAAAAATGACTAGTAAATATCACCATACTTCCCCAGTTGATTGATTGGTTTTTTGAAACATGTTTTAGAATTTTCAGAATTTTCCAGAAATGTTATAACAAAAATTATTGCATTTTGCATGCAAATTCACTAATTCGCGCACATTTCCAGAAAATAAATCTGAATACTGGATAAAACCAGGTTCAAAATTCTTGTTTGATTTTGTTGACATATTAGAGTTAAAGGATTTTACTGAGGGGATTTTGGATTTCTCTTTTTATCACTCCATAAATCAGAAAATACTGTGACGAATACTGAAAAAAGTTTTCACAATGTTTTTAGGAATAAAATGTAGTATAAATCAGCGTGAATTAAATATGAACAAACCCCTCAGTAAAAACCTTCAGATTATAGAGAGGAATAAAACTGTAAGTTTTGGTGTTTGTAAGAGCTGCTGAAGTAGAGAAACAAACTCATTTTGAGAAAACGTTGACTTTAAGCGACTATAAAGAAGTGCATTGCAATTGAAATCTACAGGCACAAATAGATAAAGTGTAATAAAATAAACAATTAAAATTGTAATTTGGATGTTTTCTTTACATTAATATAATAGAAGACAAGTTATGGAAGAAAAATATCACTTCATAAATCAGAAAATACTGTCAACAGCCAAAAAAAAAATCAACGGTTTCTCCATATTTTTGGAATAAAGTATTGTATATAATCATTTAAATGATATATGAACAAACCCCTCAGTAAAAACCTTCAAATTATAGACAGGAATAAATCTGTAAGTTTTGGTGTTTGTAAGAGCTGCTGAAGTGGAGAAACAAACTCATTTGAAGAAACGACTTTAAGCGACTTTAAAGAAGTGCATTGTAATTGAAATCTACAGAAAGATATAGATAAAGTGTAATAAAATGAACACTTAAAATTGTAATTTGGATGTTTTCTTTACATTAATATGATAGAAGACAAGTTATGGAAACAAAACATCACTCCATAAATCGGAAAATACTGTCAACATCCAGAAAAAAATCTAATGTTTCTCCATATTTTTGGAATAAATTATTGTATATAATCAGGTAAATGATATATAAACAAACCCCTCAGTAAAAACCTTAAGAAAACAGATATGAATAAAACTGTAAATGTTGGTGTATGTAAGTGCTGCTGAAGTTGAGAAAGAATCTTTTTTTTTGAGGGAACAGATTGAAATCTACAGATACAAGTGCAATAAAATAGATACTTGTTTTGCAAGTTTTCTTTCCATTAGACATGTTATGGAATCAAAACAGACCAAAATCTCAAAACTGGCCAGTGCATGAAAAAACTATGTTTTTTCGCCTGTTCGCCTTAAATGTAATTCTGAAACTCAAACCTATTTAGTTAATTTATTTGGTTCATTGAGCTACATACCCACGGTCAAGCTGTACGGGTCACTCAGAACCCAGTTGCCCTCGTTGCTGGCGTTACATCTCATTTGTCCCATGTAACGGTTCAGCTCGATGGGCATGTTAAAGAACGCACTGGTTGTGTTGGTCGTTTCGGTGGCGATGAGGTCAGTGTGGTTCAACAGGCTAAAGGTGTTGAGCGGCGTTCCTTTCTTAGACTGACACATGATGATGGCTTTATAACCTCCATCCTCAAGCTTCACAACATCAAAGGAGAATTCAGGCTTTGACACATATTCTAGAAAAAAACAGAATTTTGGGGTCAGTAAGCTTTTTTTTAAATAAATCGAAACTTTTATTCATCAAGGATACAATAAATTGATCAAAAGTGACAGTAAAGACATTTAGATTTCCATTTCAAATAAATGCTCTTCTTTTGAACTTTATATTCATCTGTGAATCCTGAAAAATAAAATGTATCACAGTTTCCACAAAACTATTGTGCGGCACAACTGTTTTCAACATTTGATAATAATCAGAAATGTTTCTTGAGCAGCAAATCAGCATATTAGAATGATTTCTGAAGATCATGTGACACTGAAGACTGGAGTAATGATGCTGAAAATACAGCTTTGATCACAGAAATAAATTACAGCTTAACAAATATACACATAGAAAATTGTTATTTTAAATTGCAATAATATTTCACATTTTTATTGTGTTTTTGATCAAATAAATACAGCCTTGCTGAGCAGAGGAGACTTCTTTCAAAAACACTAAAAATCTTAAACTTGATTATACTGTGTGACCTGATCGTACCTAGGATGGACACAGTCACACCACTGCTGGAGTTGAAGATCGTTGTGTCGTTGTATTGGTTTGATGCCACACACATGTAATTGCCTGCATTTTGTGCAGAAACCCTGTGGATGGTCAGAGTGTCGTTATTCCTGTCGTACGGCATCTGAACTGCTGCGTCGTTCCAGAGCCAATCATAGGAGACGTACGTTCCTTTGGTTTTTGTGCACTGGAGGGTCAAAGTTTGTCCTTCCCATATGTTCTCAATGTAAGGATGTGAAATGATGCTCAGTTCCTTCACTGGAACTGCAAAACACGGAAGATGAAAACAATGCAAAGATTAATGGAACAGTTCTTCATGTCGCTCAAACCTGTATGAGGTTGTTTATTTTGTGGAACCAGTGTCATTGTTTGACAAATATATTATAAGGTGTAGTTTAACCCTGGTAAAGCCTGACTTATGAAATAATAGAAAATCTATTTTTCTTTTAGACAAAAAGTTTGCATGTGTTTTTTGTAGAGTATCATATTTGATCCATCAGGCTTTTACAGCTCATATAGTCTGATACAGTGAGAATATGAAGGAAAAAAACATCTTAATTTTATTCAGAGACTCAAACTGAGCAAAAACATGAATTTGCATCAGATGCTGATATTTATATGATGAAATTCTGATGCTTATAATGTAAATCAATGAGATCTTTATAAAAGTACAGCAGATACTGATATATAGTGGTTGCTCTGTATCTCCAGTAATCTGTCTCAGTAAGATGAGATTGAAATGCTCCAAACATATAATGCAGTGATTGAGAGCTGAATAAATAAAGGCTCCTCAGAAGATGTGAGATGTTCTGGAGGCTTGTGAAGATCATTCCTCCGCTGAGGAACAGTGAAAGTAAAGCTTCTGGAAACAAACGCTCCTCAAAAGATCCTGAGGATCAGATTTGAGACTCTAAAACATGATTGATGGAGAATCAAGTAAAGCTGAGCTGCTTCAGTCCAGTAAGTGTTCATCTGGAGATATTACTGCAGTTATTCTGACCTTTACTTGATCAAAATCAGTCAAGATTTGACACGAGAAGCAGCAGCTGAAGCTGGACGTTTGTACAATTACACTAAAAGAGCTTTTACTGGATAAAAA